GCATCTGAATGTGCTGTTTGTGTTATAAATGGGGTCAATTGTCGGGAGACGACTGACTTTTAGCAAATAACTTCATCAATCAAAAATTACACTGACTGCTGAATGCTGATTGCTGAACGTCAAAACCACTCTCGGCCCACCAAACAATCACAGCGAAAGTTTGTTTCTTCTTCAAAAATTATCTGTGTTCTCTTCAGCAGTTTCATCGGTAATATCTAATTGATGCGCATCTGTTTGCGGGAGCGTTCTATGCCGCATAATTCCAATGAACTGATTCTAACTGACATACGAATGACGGCGTATGGAATTGTTTCCTGGCATAGTGATTGTGTCAAATCTTGTGACTGTGAAGTGTTGTTGGTGTAATGAATTGATAAAATGCATGCATTTTACACTGAATAGATACTGTTCGATGAATTTGATCAGAACCAATCGGAAAACAAGAAAACACATTCAGTACTTAAAGTGTTAAGCTGATAACTTAACCATCTTGCGCCGCTGATTTGATAGTTGGATCTGGATGATCTTTAAGAGATCATTGCTGAACTGATTGAAAAGGTGCTGAATTGAATAATCAGGAATTTGGTATTGTTCCGACGATGTTCTTTCAGTGTAAAGGAGCATAGAAGGACTCAATAAGTCAACAACTATAGAAAACCGATAAAATAATAAATGAAGTTTTTTTGTGATCAAGTTGAGTGAACACCAGCTGAATGGTACGAAAAGTTTTGATTTCGCCATAACGCGAAGAAGATTTCGTCGTGATTTAAACCAAAGTGTTAGAAATTTTGTTGTAAGAGATTAGAAAAAGCCACTTGAAGTTGCTGCTTCGATAATTTATTTCACCGCTCAGCTAACATCGCACTAATTGTGACTTTCTGATAGTTTTTTCAAATGGAGAAATTTGATCTGAACATAAAATTACAGCAAAGGTTGCAAATTGATTTGATCAATTAGACGAGACTCCACAAAAACTACCTTTAATCGTCTTAACATTCAGCTAAAAACAATTGATAAGACTAAAACAAATCATTGATAAGACTCAAGAGAAATTCTCAATGAAATGAAAAATTCCAATCGTACAATAAAATGTTGCGTTTATCAATGAACAACACAATATAACTAATTTCAAGCAGTCCAACCTGGAATCCAACCTCATAGCCAAGATTCTGCTTCGTGTTCCACAGCAACGGGCAAGTTGATGATGATGCAGTTTCCTCTGTTGGCTCTCTTCGAGTATCAGATGCCTCAGATTGCTCTGAGTAATTCGGCGGTGATTTTGCACTATTTAGCTGATTTGCTTGAGACTCAGTTTCAGTGGTTGAAACGGCTCCAACCACAGTGTTGGTGAGGCTCCTGGGCAGAGCAACGTTCAACGTCACAATAACCAGCGAAGTGTGGACGA